CCGTTTCATCACCACGGACAGCGGCCGCCGCCCCGGCCCCGGCCCGGTCCCCCCTCCCGCGCCAGCCCGGCTCTAAACGCACCCGGAGACGGGACCGCATCTGCCTCCAGAGGAGTCAATTCCGCTGTCCATTCCGCTCATCAAACGACGCGAGAGGCTTCTCCCAACTGCGCTATGCAAATGAGAGTCCTCCCTCCTTAACCTCGTCCTCATGCTTTCCCTTACGCCTTTCCATTCGATTTGAAATTCAATTCTCATTTCTAATTCCGATCGACTCAAACTTCGCATGCACCCCAAGTACCGCCACGTTTCACACTGCCGCCTGGTTTGGCGAGAACCCACTGCACAGCAAGTGAGAGGTTTTCAGAGTGAGATGGAAGAAGAACTACCGAAGGACCAGATTTTTATTTTTTCACAGGAGAATACCAAAATCGATCAAATCAATGTTTGTTTTCAAAAAACCTGCCCTTCCCACTCACTTTTCCTTTGTTTAACTTCTGCTCTATTTCCATTTTGCTGCAGGAGTAAGTAGCCCACCCAGACGGTTTCAGTGCAGCGTGAGGGCTCTGGGCCGTACCCTACAGCTTGGTGCCTGTGGAGTAAGCGGTCATCTCCTCGCTCTGCTTTGGAAGTGCAGCAGAGATGAAGAGGAGAGAATTGAACTGCGGGGAAAAAGGCAGAACACGAGCACAGAACCACTTGAGCAACCCAGACTATTTTAAACTTCAGAAACTTCTCAGTCCTCTTCTCTGGCTGGTCGTAGACTTCAGGGCAACAAATACTACCCAATTCAGTTACAGGTTGTAGCGGAAAATATCATTCTCCTGATGTAACAGCAGTAAGAGAAAAAGCATCCAGCGTGGCAGATAAAACTTGCCAAAAGGTCCAACACAAGACTGCATCGCAAGAAATGAACAACACATCAAAAAGCTCAACACCTTGTGACCTACACTCCGCATAGGTACCTCCAAGCTGCTTTTCCTGAGGGACAAGGCTCTCTTGCACCGTAAATCCAAGATGTCCCACTGCATGCACTACCCTCTAGCGCAGGGAGAAAAGAAGAACCAACACTATCAGCGAGGTTATGCTTCGTGGTTAACAAAAACAACTGACTGCCAGGCTGAGGAAGCAGCAGCAGAAAGGGAGCACACCAAGGAATTAAAACTGCATTTAAAAAATTCTGTCCCGATGCAATCCTTTTCAACACAAAGTATCTCTCTGCCACCAAGACACACGTCACACAGAAAAGGCCAGGTATCTCATGCGGTATGCAGTGATTTATCTTTTTTTAAATGAAGGATAGATACCAAACTGCCTTCCCAAGGAAGCACAGAAGTGGAGGACAGAAAACATAGAATCATAGAATCGCAGAATGGTTTGGGTTGGAAGGGACCTCTAAAGGCCATCTCGTCCAACCCCCCTGCCGTGGGCAG